CTTCCAAGAGGGAAAGTGTGGAAATGGCCCTCCAGCCAAGGGTACCATTTGCAGCCCGTGGTACCTCCGCGACGTGGTAGTGAGCCCCGCGAGTGTGCCCCCAGGGACCTGCGGTCATCCCCCGGGACACAAAGAAATGGAGAGCAGAAAGGGGCACGTCCTTCCCCAGTGGGCTTTGGGAAAGCTTGCCCAATTGCGTGGCCCACTTGGAGTGAACTGGTGTGATCTTATTCCCTTCACCTCCTTACTTGTAGCTTGTGTGTGTTTTGTAAGCTACTTAGGTTCCTCTCTGGAAGGACGCAGGTATAAGTAAATGTCTAGACAAACAAATACCTTAGTTTGCACCCCCCCCCCACTGGCTTATCCACTCCTGAAACACAAACGTCTCTGCCCAGCGACCCCCGTCACACCGAGCACACACCTCCATGCTTTCTGGGTCGCTCGTGCCCTAAGAAGAGTGAATGGCTGGGCGGGGGTTACAGAAAAGGAGACCTATCCAACCTTCATGTATGAAACAAAACAGAAGGCAGGTAACAGACCCGGCCAGAGGCAGCCAAGGTTGAAAACCTTTTTTTGGCTTCCGAGTTCTTGAGGTACAGTGAGTGATCAAAGTTCTCAGAAGTTTGGGCTTGTGGCTGCGGGTCCTTGAAGACTTAGTTGGAGCTCCAGGGAGACGCCTGAGAAGCGGCCTTCCTTGGATCTGAAGAGTGGGCGGAGCAGGTACAGCCAGGCCCCACAGGGTATGAGTATGAGTTGTCCACCACCGTTTCTCTCAAGGACAGTGAAGTGACCTTCAAAGATGGCAGGACAGCCGACTCCTAAGGTCGTCCGTTAGAACGCATTGGAAGGACTGGTATAGGTAGCTCCACTTAGTTTGGGACCAGTTGTTCCCCAAAGGGCGTGGCATATAGAAAGAAAGACCATGTCTAACTTCCTGACCAAACCAGGTTACTTTGAAAAGGGAGAGCCTGGAGTATGGCCCAGGGTTTGCACCTCAGGCTTCAATAAAAAAGTGACTTTGGGTCAGGGTCCAGGCAGAGGTGACTCCCAGGACACAGGAGGCCAAGGTGATTCTGAGTTCGAGGCCAGCCTGGTCTACATACAGACTTCAGGGCAGCCAGGGCTGTGCAGTGAGAGCTGTAGACATGGCTGACTCAGTAAAGGTGTTGTGATCAAGCCTGATTATCTGAGTTGCATCCTGGGATCCCAGATGGTGAGAAGGGAGAAACAACCACGCAGGTTATACCCTTGAGTCTCTCATGTGAACCCACAC